AATTACCTTGTACTGTAAAACTAAGAGTGTGGTCGCATGACATCAAAGACCCATGTGCGCAACTGAAAGCCGAGGGATGTCTATTTACCATACCACATGCCGTCCTCTGCAGGCAAAGTTCCTTCTTTTAAGAAATAATTTATTTCTTCTTAGAGTCCTTGACATCATTCTTAGTTTCTTACACTTGAATGCTTCTGATGTTAAATCATATATTACTCTTTTTACTATTGGATGTATATTAATAATTCTGCTTCTTTTTATGTGTTTATATCTTTGCAGTGAAATGGGAGCTCACTTTTCGCCATGTGGGAGATATTTAGCAGCCTGTGTTGCATGTGTTTTTCCACATCCTGAGATAGATCCTGGATTGCAGACACTAGCCCAACAAGATTCAGGGCTTGCAACTTCCCCGACTCGACACCCTGTCACAGCACACCAAGTCATTTACGAACTTCGTGTGTATTCTCTCGAAAAGGAAAGGTGAGTGCTACGTCTGATATCTCATTGTGTTATTTTTACATTCTTGAAATGCACTTCCCACGAAAAACAGTTAGTGAAGTATGTGTTATTATGGATACAGTTTTGGTTCAGTACTTGTGTCACGGGCAATTAGAGCTGCGCATTGCTTGACCTCTATCCAGGTTAGTCACCTTTTGAGAATACTCTGATTGAGTTTCTTTAGTATACATATTTTGTGATATATGATTGCTTTGCTTTATCCACAAGATATGGGAATATTTAGTTTGATCGTGTTGTGTAGCTTGTGAGACATATACTAGAGAAAATTCGTTTATGATATCATCTTACTTGTGAGATATGTAATTTAAAGAAAATTTATGCTCGTAAAGACGATCAGTTTGGTTTTCACCTACAGCCCAACCAATATTCATGATAAATAACAACGTTGTAAGTTGTTTGAAAATATTTTTTATAACAATTGAGAATTATTTGTGCAGTTCTCACCCACCTCTGAGCATATACTGCTTGCATACGGCCGGCGCCATGGTTCTCTTTTGAAGAGCATCGTTAGTGATGGGGAAGCAACATCACATGTTTTCATAGTGTTGGAGGTAAAAAAACAAAAGCCTTGTGCTGCTGCTCTGCCTCTAAATTAACCTTATCACGGTGTGTATGTATAATTTCTATGTTTTGTGTTTGCTAGATTTACAGAGTTTCAGATATGGAGCTTGTGAGAGTACTCCCAAGTTCAGAGGATGAAGTAAATGTAGCTTGTTTTCATCCTTCTCCTGGAGGAGGTCTTGTTTATGGGACAAAGGTAAACAAAACCGTCCAAAATCTGAATGGAAAGCTTGTTTCTTTAAATAAAATTGTCGACTATGAATATGAATACTCATGATTTTACTCGAAATCTTTTTCTTTAGGAGGGGAAACTCAGGATCTTCCACTACGATACAGCTGCTACATCTAACTTCACAGGACCAAACAGCTATCCTGAGGAGAACTTGTTTGCGGTAGAGTTATAGACAAGGGTTGATTTCTATCTATCTTTCTCTGCTACATTTGCAGAATTTTTATATTCTCTTTAGATGTATGTACATGAAATAGGTTTGCTTCACTCCACTTGCCGCATTATTTTTATGTAACCAGGTTTGATTTTTTTTTCTTTTCTTAACATGAATTGAAATCGAAAACTTTACCAAGCAATCCATTTTTCAGAAACCAAACCGAATGAAATAGTTTTTTTTTTTTCTCCCCTTCTTCGAACTGTATTAAAAGAGTACTTGAACTGTATTAAAAGAGTACTTGTATGGTTCTGTCAGCAAAAAAAAATTGTTACTCCATTTTAGGAGTTGGATTCTCATAAAATTGATTGATTTCTAAAATCATTGGATTCTATTAAATTTGTAGAGAGTTGTGTGTATTTAAAAAGTCTAGTTATAAGAATTTTAAGAATCCAATAGGTTTCTAAGGTATTTTTAAAATCTTTTAAAAACAAAAAAGAAGGTATTCTTTAAATATTGTTTAATGAGTAAATTATAAAAAATCCAACAACCGATAACTCTAGATTCTAGTAGATTTATAAAATCAATAAAATCTAGATTTTTTT